TTTGGCAACAGGGTACGAATTACACAGAGGCTTCTGTGGAGCCCAGTGTGATTAGAGGTGGGGGTGGGGCTGAGTTTTGAAGGAGATCTGAATTATATAAAATTTATATTACATGCTTATAAAATATTGCTTTATAAATGTAAAAAGGTTTAGTGGGACAAATTTACCAACATTTTCCTCTTCAACCACTTTGTCTTGTTTTCTTGATTTTTTTATTTGACTGGTTTTCTGTCCTGTCCACCTTCGATCTTCCTGCATCTCCTCTCAATCCTTCAGATAAACTGCTGCCTGGCTTCCTATTTTCACCTCACGAGTTAATTTTGAACTAAGCAGTTCAAATGGATGTATCGGCCGCAATAATAGCGGAGTTCACGCTGCGCACAGGCCGTGCCGGTGAGGTTAAGTCCTAAGGACAAAGCAGGTGATGTGCTCCACTCCACAGCAGTGAATTGCATCTGGCACAAATAAAAGACAGAAAGCAACAGAGGTTTTGAGTCGACATAAACAATCGAGTGTTAATTATATTTTTGGGGTGGTGACACTTTAAAAATGATACTGTGGCCGTGCGCAGGATGAAGCTGCCTGGAGCGAATCAAAAACCCGCTCAAAGCAATCCCCGGAGAGTCCACACAAATGATGTCATATAAGCAGAACCAGGATCTTTACTCAGGCTCCCCCTGGGTGTGTAAGTGGAGTGCTTCCAGGGGAGCCCGGCTCCCCCGTGATTCGGACCCTGTTTTGCAACACTTTAATCATAAACTTAAAACACAACACATGTTAAAATGTTAGTTGAGAACTTTTACTTTTTACGTTTTAAAGACGAGGTTCACAGAGAAACCATTTTTTTTACTTTATTCAGGCTGAACATGAAAATGGTCTTCTACACACATCTCCTGCTTTAGCTTCTAACAGAAAATAGACGCTTGGTTCAGAAAAGCTACTCAGCTCTACGTCACATTGTCAGTTAACATTCATGACTCACCCATTAAGACTCACGACAGGCACTGCAGTTGTTGGTTTAGTGCCCAGGAAACATCAGAGAACGTCTCAACTAGTAGACGCTAACTGTTAGATTAGCAACTCCACCACACAGCAGAACTCCTCCAGGCTTGTGTTATTTGTGGAGATAAAACATCAACGTTGCAGAGCCAATAGTCAGTAGTTGAGTCATGCTGCTGTCATCCAATCAGAGGCGAACATCCAAATATCAAGGAAGAAGACTCCAAATCCTGCCTTCACTTTCTCCTCCAGCTGACTCCTACCTCCTCAAATGGGCGCACCGGAGCTTTTTTCCCCAGACAATGACTTAAAAGGCATTCATTCACTACTAATAGAGACCTCAGCAAATGAATTAAAAAAATTGGGGTAAAACTAAGCTCAATGCTTTTACTTTGTTTGAAAACTTCCTTATAATTACCTTATAATTAAGCCCTTTTTTACCCACTTATCTATACTTTTACTTAAATAAAACAGCAAGTACTTCTTTTGCCTGGTTTGTTGCATCTCTTGCATTAAACTACTGAGGAACTTGCAGTAAAGCCAGTCATAAACCCAAATCCTCCTGGTGAGCCGTCTACAGCAATATTTGAACTTCACAGGGCCCACAGTGATCAGTCCTGATCACTGTTGGCGTTCTGAGATGAAAAGTGAACCCAAACTACAGTGTGAGCAAATTCATGAAAGCATTACTGAATCACCATTACTAATCGAAGTCTGTTTGCCTCAAAACATGTCGTAACAAATGCATCTCATAAATCCTCCCTAAATAATTCCTGGTTGAATCATTCCCCGAGCTCGGACTGTCTGCTCGGCGGAGGGCGCTCATGGATCAAACCATTAACAGGAAACCGGGCCAGGGCGATGAGCAGAGGGCAACAAGCTCCAGCCCCAAATGATCAAGCCGCCCCGACCCAACAGCAGCTAGAAAGCTAATGGAAGACAAACAGACAGACAATTTCTTTCAATTAGCTCAAACTGGCCAGCCCAATAAATTTTAGTTTGTTCTTGAAGACGTAAGGGCCCTGTTGCATGTCCCACTGAAAATGAAGACTAATGGGGTATTGTGGAGCTGCTGAGTGCCTGATTTCTTGCTGCTTTCCTCCACCACCCCCCACCCCTCCAATGATTTTCTCCAGCTAAGTGGGATCCGTGCTGACTGTGCACAATACAAATCTCTGAAACGCTAATTCACAACTTGGACTCATTTTCTGCTTTAAACATTATTCCTGAGGAGTTGGAGCCATTCATCTCATTGTGACAACAGCTGTGAACAAACCGATCATTCAGCCTGAGTGTCTGCTGAACTCAAGTTTGCAAATATTTAAATGTGATTCTTATTTTCAGAGCCTGGACAACAAATCACACAGTCATCTGTTTTATAATGCTTTCATCTTAGATTTTTTATTTTTCATGCTAAAATTTCACTATTTTTTGCCAAATGGTAAAATTGAGGATACGAGAGTCTGGGTGCTGTTTTATTTTTCTCCAGCACATCCTAAAAACGTTTTGATCCAGAAATGAGGGAAATTACATGTCAGTTCATTTTAACAAATTATTTTTTCCCATATTTGAAAGTTAAAACAAAACAAAAAATATCTTAAAAAGACTATGTGCATTTCCCTGGCGATAAGGAGCAGTACATACTAAGTTCCATGCTGTAGTTCTTTTTTAAAACACAGAACAGTTTTGTTACCTGTTTTCCCGCTACGTTTCATTTGCGGCTGCAAACTTCCTCAGGCTGACGCTGATGGTGGCGTCACTTCCTTCTCCGTACATACTAAGGCTGGACAATATGTCAATAACGACATATATCAATCGATAATGTAGTTCAACAGAAAAAAAACAGATCAATAAAATCTTCAATCAAAAGTTTCCTTTTTCCACTATAGCCTAACTAGCTTCATACTAGAGTCATTCCTTACACCCAACCAAGCAAAAACACAGACCCAAGCACGTGTCATCACCAAGCCATCCCCTCACAAACCTAAACAGACACATCAGGCTCAAAAGTCCCTGAGAGCATAACCTCCAGCAAAATGACAAGCACATCAGACTCAGGGCTGCCAACTCTCACGCACTGAGCGTGAGACACACGCATTTGACCCTCTACACACACTCCGACGCCACACCTCCTATATCTCACGCTGATTCCCCCCCCCCCCCCCCCCCCCCCCCAACCACCACCACTCTTTCACATGTTCAATAGCTGGCAGCCCTGCAGACTCCCTTTCATCACTGGCAATGAGCAAAAAATAAATGTGTAAAGCAACAACGTTTATGAATGGCAACAGTTTTGTAATCACTTGCTACAAATCAGCTAATGCATTTTGTCCTCACAGGGCTCACGTAGCTACGTGCCGTCTGATATGGCGTCACCCAGAGGCTTAGACCCGCTTGCATGTATTTTATACCCGATTTTTATGGCCACAAAGCTTCCAACATTTTCCAATAAATGGGCATCATTTAATTCATTTTCAACAACATTTCAATGGATACTTCCAGATTAATGGTAAACAACTACACATTGTCTCTTTAAGTACTTCTATTTGCTTTTGACTCAAAGAAAAGCCAAAGTCGATGCTAAAGCAGTTTCAAATGAACCGTCATCATCTTTGTTTTTTCTGTAGCATCTTGCCCACCACAGAGCACTGTGACTGGACCATTACAAAGCAGTCACCATCTTAGTTTCACTCAGTCACACTAACATCCCGCCCACCAGACTGATGGAGTACTTTGATTGGCCCATCAAACCGATAGAGAGCTGTGACTGGACCACTACGGATGTCAGTCAACGAGGCAGTCCGCCGTTCATCGTGGAAGAAGCAAGGAAGGAGACGAAAATACAAGGTTTTTCTAAATTAACGGGCTGTAATGGGCCAATCGCGATGGCCGGGGCTGCAGAGGGTCCAATGGAGCATTGCTAGACCGACATGCAAAGCAAAATGTTTTTGCTTTGGCAACAAATGCTGATTTGGTAAAGAAGACGGTTTAATTGACAAAAACCACAAATTGATAAATCAATCGGACACTTTTTAGCTTCAGAATCTCGTCCTGCAACAACTTTGCACAATAACTCCATAACTTGTTTTATTTGTATTTTTTATATACTGCAACAACCTTAATTTACTTATGAGACTAATAAAGTGTTTTAAAACATATTTCAATAGCAGCAATGCTGATGACAACAGTAAGAGAGATTTTAGGTTCGTTTGCCATCCAAGGCTGATTTATGGCAGATCCTCGGGCCACAATTTGGCGACGAGACGAGAAACAAAGTTGCTTTGTCATACAAAGAAATATTAAACAGGAGTGAGTGGGAGGCAAGAGGGCATTGATTTTACAATTCAGGATTCAGTCAAAAAGAATTATGGATGAGAATACAGCTGTGATTTGGCTGTGCTGCTCATTAAACTTTACGTTCATGGAATATGTCTTCCCCTCCAGCAAAGTAGGGAAAGGATTTACAGAGCAGGTTAAGCACAGTTCAATACGGAGAGTGATGAAGTAACATGGCTGTTAATAAAAAGAATATGAGCTTGAAGAGGTGGAGGGAAAAAGGAGAGGAAGAGCGGGGAGACTAAACTAGGATAGGAAGAGGAACTATGGAGGGAACAAACAAAAAACCGTAGGGTTACGTTATGTAAACCCCTGTTCTTTGATAACAGAGTGAGGTGTTTCACTATGGGAATCTCCCTGGCGTGACCAACTACGGAAGCTCCAATGACATCACGTCTGTCCCTGACAGACTGGCTGTGTTGTGCCCAGGCTCCGCCCACCCAGAATATACACGGCCAACCAACCCCTCCTACTCATTCGGACGATTTCTTACCGTCATGCAAGAAGGGAACTGTTGGTGAAACACCTCACTCTGTTATCAAAGAACCGAGGTTTACATGACGTAACCCTACGTTCTTTTTCTAACTTCGTTCTGTGTTTCACTATGGGAGATATGGCCCACTCCCGGATTGCATATCCCTCCCGGAGCAAGCTGCAGCAAAATTCTAAGCAGATGCTGTGCATCCTGCTTCCAGCACTGAATGCGCCAGCAAAGGTTGAGACACATCCAGCCTGTAAAACCGCACAAACGTTAGCGGCGTGGTCCAGCTAGCTGCTGCACAGATATCCTGGACTGACTCCCCACGAAACAGGGCCCAAGATGTGGCCATGCTCCTTGTAGAATGAGCCCTCACCCCCAGAGGGGGTTCAGCACCCTTGCACTTATATGAAAGGCTGATCGCTTCTACAATCCAGTGTGCCAGTCTCTGGCGAGACACAGGTTTGCCTTTATGGGCCGTGGCCCAAGAAACAAACAACTGGTCTGATTTTCTGAGACCAGGAGTCCTGTCCATATAAGCCATTAAAGCTCGAACAGGGCAGAGACAATTAAGCTTCTGCTCTTCTGCTGAGGAAAAAGGAGGTGGGTGAAAAGCCAGCAGCTCCACAGGGGAGCAGCTATAAGACGACTCCATTACTTTAGGCACAAAAGCTGGATTGGGCCGCAGACACACCTTAGTGTAGCCAGGGGCCCACCGTAAACAAGAGGGACTGACTGACCATGCCTGAAGGTCACTCACTCTCTTTGCAGTAGTTAAAGCTAAGAGCAGTGCAGTCTTTAAAGAGAGAAATTTCAATCCAGCCCCATCTACCGGTTCAAAAGGATGATGACAGAGGGCCTCCAGAACAAGAGAGAGGTCCCACAGTGGTACCAGTGGCCTAAAGACTGGTAGCTTACGGCGAGCACCCTTCATGAAGCGACTCACTAATGGGTGTTGCCCCACTGGCTTGTCACCAAACCCCACATGGCATGCAGAAATTGCAGCCAGATACACCTTAATAGTGGAGAAAGCTTTACCCTTGTCCATCAGACTCTGCAAAAAACAGAGTACGTCCCCCACCGAACACTGAAATGGGATAACAAGTTTTTCTTCACACCACCCCTCAAAAACCCTCCATTTACAGCTGTAAAGAGAGCGAATTGAGGGAGCGTTTTGAATGGTGTCAATGACACTTGGGGGCAGGCCTGCCACGCTCAGATTCCACCTCTCACGGGCCAGACCCACAGAGACAAGCGGTCTGGGTGAGGGTGATAGATCTCTCCCCTGGCTTGGGACAGGAGATCCCTGCGGACAGGCAGGGGCCACGGTTCTTCCCAAAGCATCTGGATTATTTCTGTCACCCACGGCTTGGATGGCCACAATGGAGCCACCAAGATCAAAGACAGGCCCTGTTCTCTTACTCTTATTAGAATGGAGGAAATCAGACTGAGAGGAGGAAACACGTACAGCAGCACTCTCGGCCACTGGTGAGCCAATGCGTCGACTCCCAGAGGCGTGTCCGCATCTGTCAGGGAGAAGAAGAGTGGACAGTGGGCGCTTTCCCATGAAGCGAAGAGATCTATGGTAGCCTGACCGAATCTCTGCCATATTTGGTGCACCACCTGGGGGTGGAGTTTCCATTCTCCGTACAGAGGATTTCCTCTGGACAGAAGGTCTGCCCCTCTGTTCAAGCTGACCGCCACATGTGTTGCGCTTCAACACTGACCACCACTGTAGATCCTTCCTGCCAGCAGCCATTGTAATATACAATAACTCTTTGATGACTTGATTATTATTATTATTATTCTGAGCTACTACAGCAATCAATTTCCCTCTGGGATTAATAAAGTATTTTTGAATTGAATTGAATTGAATGCTTCTGTGATGGCCTGGATGAAGAGGAGATGAATGATTGCAGGGAACCGTTCCTGTTCATGTTTAGTTTTCAATCAGACTGAGGAGTTCTGCAAAGAAATTGTGGACAAAAGGAAGGTGTTTTCTGGCTTTGAAATGCCATAGTACAGCGGTGTCAAACTCAGTTTTTGCATTCTGTTTCCTCCTTACATTGTTTTTTTGGAGGTTCTCTTGTTTTTTGTGTGCTTTTTGGTTTATTTGTTTGTACTTCTTTTAAATTCCTGTGTTGGCTGTTGTTTGCTCTATTAAATTTACCTTTTTGAAGAACTTAGTCTGCATTCTTGGGTGTCTCACCACCCCGCCTCAAACCCTGGCATGTTTTAAGAAGTATCAGCACAATTTAAGTCTCTGGCCCTCTTAATGTAGCTGATATAACTGAGTGTACAACAAATTTACCCGTGTCTGTCTATACTGTTTTACACTCACTTGGGAAATGACTATTAAAATAAAGGCAGCATTGATAAAATAAACTATTAAAATGGTTTTGACAGGTTCAAAGAATAGTCTATCAAATGCCTGAACCTTTTATATAGGTACCAAAAGCATAGCTAAACGACACAAATACCTATGTGCTATAAATACACATACCATACACAAAAGTAGGAAAAAGAATAGAAATATCAGAACAGATTGGATCAAAAATGGCGCCTGTTTCATTTAACTTAATTATTTGCCCTTTCTTTAAAATTATCATGACATCCAGCAAACAAGTAATTTGATTACCAATGTTATGCTTTACATGGGTTTTGTGGGTTTTTAGGGCTTTTTAATCCTTAACTCAGGGGCTACTCGTGGTTTCCCGTTTCCATTGAAGAGGAGCAGGAGTCAAATAGTTGTCTCCGCCCACCTATAAACATTTGATCCCGCCCACATTTAGCCCCACCCCAATCTCTGGGAGGCAGCCAGGGGCTACTCGACACCGACTGTGTGCTCATTTGAAAACTGAAAAGTGTTTGGTGACACTGCGTTTTCTGCTCCACACCTTCGTCTCTCTGAACTGACGAGGGAGGAGCTAATAAAACTCCTGCTGGGCAGGGAACCACAGGAGTGTCTGAACCCTGAACACAGAGGTCTGTTTGTACCTCTGAAAACCTCCTCTTCTTCTGGAGAGAAGCAAGAGCAGCTAGGATGTCTTCTTCCTTTTGCTCTCGCTGGGGTGAGATGAGCGGTTCCTGGCGGCTGCTGCTGCAAAAGAGTGCTTGCCCCACAGGCGAGAGTTCTCCACCTTGTTTGGCTGGACCACCTGCTGATCGCTGTGGTCTAGCCCCACCCTGTCGACCCTTTGCCACTGAGGCGGCTGCCGCAATTCCAGGTTTTGGTGCCTGAGGTGGCTGATGGTTATGTTTACGAGGCAAGCAGAGATTGAAGGCCTCACCTTCCTGCTTTCTGCGGGTACTCGTCTCAGTCATCTTCTCCAAGGCAGGGCGAAAGAGACATTTGGTAGGGTCATATGCTGCATCCAAGACATCAGCTTTCTGGGTCTCACCTAGGCCTGACAGGTTTAGCCACAAGGCTTTCTCACCCGAAACCGCCAAACCCATCACACGTCCACAGCCCTGGACTGCTCCTCTAGAGGAGCGCAGGATGAGATCATTCACCACACAGATTTCATCCCATAAAGCTGGGTTAGGCACCCCAGAGTCCAGCTGACAACCCATTTCCTCCAGGATTTCTCCTTGATAAGCTGACAAGAGAGTAACCGCGTTGAGGGAACACACAGATTGGCCAGCATTTTGTACATCCTCTGAAAAATGGATGCCGTGAGACGATCCGTTTTAGAATGGGAGAGAGATGCTGGATGATGCTGACACAGATCTGCGGTTGGGGTGAAGGTGGTATGCCACTGAAGGCTCCACCGTTGGGGGTTCACCAGCCCCAAGTCCCCCATTCCATGCACCTCCAGTTTAGAGCATCCCTTGGTGGGGAGTTTGCTCTTAAATGGGCTAGACCAGTAACGGCTCATTTCTCTCATGCATGCTGGGACAGCCGGCAGGAGCTGCTTGGGTGGAGCGGAGGATAGTGGGAGCCTCTTACCATCATACAGGTCTCGTTCCACCCCTTCTGCCCCTTGTGCTGCAGGCCACTGAATGTTGAGCTTTGCCACCGCTCGTCTGCAAACCTAGTACAGATCGGTGTCCCCCTGTGATGCCACCCCAGTGCCGCTAGACGGCCTACAGTGTTGAGCTGGGAAGGTGGAATCCTCTTCCTCCTCTTCCATGTCCAAGTCGAGGAGGTCTGAGTTCACATCACCTCCAGCCTCGTCATCACCCGCATTGAGCAGTCCGCTGTCCACCAGCCCCTCGAACAGAGGAGGTAGCGGGGGCTCCTCTTCCATCATATCCGCCCAGCTAGTGGAGGCTCGTGGCTGATGGTTGTCACCTGTATCAACAGGCGTGCCTGAGCCGAGGCTGGGGTCCCGGCTGTTAGCCACTGCCACTCTAAGCCTCCTTTCCCTTATCTTCTCCGGCATGGAGGAGCAGTGAGGGCATGTCTGCGGGTTAGCCAGCGATGCTTGGGTGTGAGCAGCACCCATGCAAGCACATAGGATGAGGGTCCCTGCCTGAAATGGAAGCCCCACATGATGCCGGGCACAGGCGGGATGCAGCCTCTAGCCTTCGGTTCCGACCCGTCCGTCGGGGCAGGGGTGGAAGCCATAGCTGACAATCTGACTTGTTGTGACACGTTAGCCTGAAAATAATTTGCAAGCTAGTTAGCAGGTGTAAGTCTGCAACTAAAGCTATATTACATATGGAGGGCAACTCGTCGTGACACGTTAGCTGCACCAAAGTAGCTCATTAGCAAATAAATGCTAAATAAGCACAGGACAAGCTCGCCTCAACGCGTTAGCTTGAGGCACACTCGCTAATACTACTCCGTCAATGACAACCGAGTAGCAGTAGGAGCAGTTCGCCGTGACGCGTTGACTGTTTCTAGTGAAGTGTGACAAGTGACTTAGAAGCACTTACTCAACTCAAATCCAGACTGCATTGGTACTGTGTTTGGCGACATATCCTGATGGTACGCCTGGGAACAGTTAAGCAGCTACCAAAGATAGCCTGAAAATCGCTGAGGGAGCAAGGTGTAGTTTCTCACGGGAAGAAAGCGAGAATGAGTAGGAGGGGTTGGTTGGCCGTGTATATACTGGGTGGGCGGAGCCTGGGCACGGCGCAACCAGTCTGTCAGGGACAGACGTGAAGTCATTGGAGCTTCCGTAGTTGGTCACGCCAGGGCAATTCCCATAGTGAAACACCGAACGAAGTTAGAAAAAGAACTTCATTATTCTGAACAGATAAACTGCATCACAGAGAAGCGTTTAGCAGAAAAATATATGAAAACATATTTGCTTTGAGGGCATGAAAATGCAAGCCCCGTGTTCAAATGCATCAATAAAGCATAACGGTACCCTTCTTCACCCCCCAGATATTCCCAATCAGATCTTGTGACTCCCTGCCGGCTTTTCTGCCACAAAATGCTGCGACTGACAACCATGCAATCAGTCAGAGTGGAGAACACAGGAAAAAAATGAAACTACAGCCTCCAATCATAAAAGCTCTTTTAATAAGCCCATGAAAAAGAGCAAGTCATCCTTTGTAATGATTTCATTAAATGCCCTCCTCACACCTGGAGATAATTCCATTATGATTGTGGCAATAAAATTAGGTTTTCATCAAGACCTGCAGACACAAGCAGGAACAGCTATTATTCCTCTCACATTCAGATATGACGTTGCCTATAATGTTATGATATTAGGCCATTTGGCAGAATTTATGATGCTTTAGTCGATCCATAACGCCGGAGGAAAACTGCCCCACTGACAAAAACTCAGACAAAAATAAAGAAATCTGTTTGGAGTTTAGTGTATTTTAGGAAAGTGAACCCTTTCAAAGTGGATGGAGGCCAAAAAATAATTCTGTCTTCTCAGCGTCGTCTCCTCTCACCTTTCATTAATATGTTTTGCTTTGCTTTAATACACTCAAAGCATGTGTTAATCACGCGCTGGAGCAGGAACTGCAAACAAATTCAAAAAGGTGTAAAGATCTTCGCTTTCAACGTGTGAATGCATTAGCGAGTCTCTTTTTTTAGCCATATTTTTACATTTAATATGGCTGAGTTGTTGGCAAACAGTCGCTTACGTTAACGTTTATTGTGCACAAACCAAAACCATAAGCAATCACATTAATTACAGTGGAGCAAAAAAGTATTTGGCAACCACTGATTGTGCACGCTGCCCCATTTAAAAAGATGAGAGACGTCTGTACTTTTTAATCATCGATACACTTAGTCTGTAAGAGACAGAATGTAGAAAAAACTGGAAATATCGTAGAATGATTTTAAAATAATTTATGGTGCAGAAAATAGGTATTTAGCACCTACAAACAATCATTCTGGCCCTTACAGACCTGTTAGAAGCTCTTCTATCCTACACTCATGGTCCCTACAAAAAGCACTTGTTTGAAATTGTTATCTTTATAAAAGACACATGTCCACACCTTTAAACAGTCAGACTCAACCTCCTCCACAGCCAAGACCAGAGAGCTATCCATGGACACCAGGGATAAGTGTGTACACCTGCACAAGACTGGCATGAGCCAATCTACAATGGGCAGCATCTTGGTGAGAAGAGATCAACTGATGGAGCAATTATTACTAGAAAATAGAGTAAGTATATGATTGTTGACAATTTCCCTCAACTCCATGCAAGATCTCAATCCGTGAGGGACAAATGATCAGTGAGGAAATATCCCAGAACTACAAAGGGGGAGCTGGTCAATGACCTGAAGAGAGCTGGGACCACTTTCATCTCTTTAAGTGGGACAACTTGCACAAGCAAAGCTCTCGATTTACCGGTCAATCTATGTTCCAACCCTCACCTATGGTCACAAGCTTTGGGTAGTGACCAAAAGAATGAGTTTGTGGATACAAGCGACTAAAATGAGTGTTCTCCAAAGGGTGGCTGGGCTCTCCCTTCGAGATAGGGTGAGAAAGCTCGGTCACCCGGGAGGGGCTCAGAGCAGACCGGCTGCTCCTCCACATTATGAAGAGCCAGTTGAAGGGACTCAAGCATCTGGACATTTCTATAACTGTTTTTGTTTGCATGACATCATCAATTACATAAAAGTACTAAAAATGTACTGAAATATTAGCTTTACTTCTGATCAGGAAGATCATTTTCTTGTGATGATCTTGAGAATTCACCAGAATTCTATTTCTTTTACATTCATGAATTGTTCCACAGAGGTCAAACATGTGAAAAGTAAGTTTTAAACTATTTAGGACACAAAATTAGTTTATTAAGAATGCATAGACATGCTACATGATGTGTATTGTTATACTGCTATTATACCTTTAAATTTAATAGTTCTAATCAAACTGATCACAAAAGAGTGTAATAAAACAATGTTCAAGTACAAATGTTTTGTCCGTTTCTCTATGAAACGTAGATATACAGAACAAAAATCAGTTCATGACAGAACAACAAAACAGCGCAAGTGTGAGAAGAAATAGTTGTATTCCAGATCTGCAGCACCGCCACAGTCCTGTCAGCTGCCTACACAGAGCACAGGGGTCTCAAACCATAACTTGGATTATTGTTACAAGGCTTCGGCCACAGCTGAGAAAATAAAATGTGACAAAGGAGAAATGTTGAGGATACTGTGTGCTATCCAGAGGAATGGGAGGCTGTGTGTTCTCTGGCATTCGTGTCACAGCCCTTTTAAAAAATGCATCAAAGCAATAGCAGAACTCACGAGACCGGGCTTGGGCACACAAAGTCGTGACCACCATCCAAACCTCAGTGATGAGGATAAAACAGAGCTGCTGCTTACAGCGACGGGATTTAAAATGCACTACTTCCCTCAATAATAAACGCTAA